CATGTGGTGTGCACTTTGAGTGGTTCATAATTTTTTTTTATATTAACAGTTATATTTATTCACAATTTGTAATTTATGACAAACTATATGCAATGTCATAAGGAAAACATTTACCAAATGGTAAATTTCAAGTCATATAGGTACAGGATATAGACATAGCTTCGGATAAGTTCATCATATCAAGGCCTATTAGTTGGACTCTTGATAAACATTTCCAATTTAAACTATCTACACAGTGTTTCTAACTTTTACATGTATTTTCAAATTAACATACTTTTTTCGTACATTACTTGTAATTTCTTGTCAAACTGTTGATAATACTTCATTGACAATAAAAAAAAGCAACATTTAACTTCAGAATTTTTTTTAATTTCTGTGTGGAAACAAGAATTATTTAGAGGTAATACATAGCCTGCTCTTTCTCCGAAACATTTAGTGTATTTTCCATCCAGAAAAGGATGAGTATGTACCATATGCATAAAAGCTTGAAGTTCCAGATGTAACCCAGACCTGGTTGTTTTTGTTAAGCCATATTGTAATGGTAGAACCACATTGCGCATAGGTTTTCTGGCAATAAGTTTGATGATAGGTTGATCCATCTTTCATCAGCCTTGAGTTTCCGTAATAGCTTTTGTGAGTGGCAATGCTCCAGGAGAAAACATACAAGCCAGCTGATGGGGCCGTGAAACGGTAGTTACTGGTGCTGAAAGCGTTGCCATGGTTGATTTTGACTGAATTAAATCGTAACACAGACCCAGAGCTGTAGGACCGCGAACTTGTTGGCACAGCAGTGAAAGCTACGTCATTTCTGTGTGACCCTGTTTTAAATGGATTATTTCTTTAAAATATGTTCTGAATTTCATTAATATGACTTCCATTCTAATATTTTTAGCATTTAATTTTGTATATATACAAAAATGTTAATGACGGAGAGATATCAATGTATTTACATTTACCTATATCACCAACTTTTGAGGCTAAATCAAGACCATGTTGAAGCGTTTCTGCTTGTTTCATTAGATTTGTAAGCAAACTTTTCCCTGAAACCATGCAGTTCCACGAGCATATGAACAGGATGAAAGTCAGAACTGTCAAATCCTGCATCTTATTGTACCCTGCAGCAAGGGATATTAAAAATACAAACATTAAAATTGATATTTCTTTCATGTATACCGGTATATAATACCGGTATATGAAAATCTTTAATTCCTTGACTAGATCACAATTTAAAATTTACTTTAATCAGAATAAATTTGTATTTTTTAACTTTAAAAAGATAAATGATAAAGAAGTTATTTTGAGAAGAAAAGTATCTTACTGGTAAAATGTTTTCCCTTTCCTGAGGCTGATAGAGTACTTTCAGAGCCATTTTATATAGTTTGGTATATATTTGTCTGTAAATAGTACAGTCATTGAGTTATTTACTTTGTCATGTTGTTTATAGGTTCTCATACCAATTAACAAATATCAAAATGCACTACAAGACAGCTGTTGCTAATGCTGAGAGGTTTTTCAATTGTTTCAAATAATACCGCCATGTTCCTGGTTTACAGGTTGCCGGTGCCAAGACATGACTAGTTCATTATACATGTAGGTAGACATTTTACCCACAAATCATATCTGAAACATGTTGAACGCCTCTTGTAGCTGCAGTGCTTGATTTATGCTCTCTTAAAATACTGTTCCAATAGTTTTAAAAATTATCATATGTGCTTTTTCAATGAAATATGAGGGTATAAAAGATACTAGTATATAAATTTATATTTCTACAAATCTATATTTTTTCTTTCTATTGAACCAACTCTACCACTGTGAAATAAGGTAAAATATTTGTTATCATTAATTAAATGTATGAAAAAGAGACCAATGGAATATACTAATCATTTATTAATCATTAAAAACTTTTGTGTTTTCAAAACATAAGGCAATCAAAATTTCTATCGTATGTATCATGTTATTTAATAAGCTATTAAAACACTTCATTAGTTTCCAGTTTAGGAATAAAATCAAGGACATAAGCTAAAATGAGGAACGTTTTCCTGTTTTTATGGATCTGCATTTTGGTCTCTTCCAAAAAGGCGGAAGGATAGAAGTTTGATGGCCCACTAAATGCGACAAGCCGGGAATTTGAAACATGGTTTAGACCTAGCAGCGCGAGTTGGCGATATCGGTACTTTGGTTATGTTTATTAATTTTAATTGTATTAACGATTTAAAAACAGGCAAATGTTGTGTTTTGTACATATGCTTCTTCCGCTAGAGATTGTTTCCCATGTACTCTTCTCATCAATTAAAATGTTTGTTTCAAACATCTGAACGCTGACTTTCCTCCACTTGTTGAAACTTTATGCATAAAAGAATATTATAACGGCAACATAGATAATCCAAAGTATCCGAATGCAAAGAAAACGTCATAATTGTATTTAGACTATTTTTAAAAGTTGATAGTTAAAAGGATACTTTGATGGTATATCTTTAGATACACCCCCTCCCCCGTGTGATATTAAACGTACGTTGATCAAACTGTATATTCATTTTCTTTCCATATGATATCTTTAGGTTCGCACAAAAATGATGTTGCATTCACTGCAGTCACTTCGAGTACTACAAATTACAGAAGTGGCCGTACTATAGCCTTCAACAGAATGCTTTTAAACCATGGAAACGCTTATAGTACCAGCAACTACCGGTTCACTGCACCATCTGAGGGCCTTTATGTACTATTTTCCTGGTCACTAGCTATATCATCAGGAAGCTATAATGGCAACGTAAACTTGATACGAAATGGTAGTGTTTACCACAGTACCACTTGTGTCAGTACATGCCAGCAGTGTGGGAGTACCGTGACTATGTGGCTGGGAAAGAACAACCAAGTCTGGATTCAGACGAGAAACAGGAATGTGTACGTCTACGGTACCTACTCCTCTTTCTCTGGTTGGAAAACACACTGGTGAAAAGTACATGTTTATATATATCCTCTTCATGGCAGATTACAAATAAATGATTTCCAAGAAAAGAAAATATGTATATTTTTAATTTTAATTTCATTATGAAGTCATTCATGTATAACACCTAAAAATACGCTCAAATTTAATTGCATGTACTTCATATCATTGATAGATATGAAAAATACATGTTATATTTCATTGTCGTTGTGTGTAGGATATACATGAAAAAACAAGGAATTTTTTTTTTAATTTATGAATGTACATTTGAATAAGGTTAACGTTCTTTTTTGGTACACTTAATGTAAATTTACTTGTCTGTGTTCACATAATGTGAATCTCTCTCCTTAAGAACTCTTCTCTCACAATCTTCATCAATGTTTTCATCAATTATATCTACATATACATGATCACTTTTATTTTTTTCCTGTTCCAAGCGAATTTCTTCGTTATGGCTCTCATTAATCTGTGCGTTTCCCTGTACTAATTCAAAAACTTGGTTGTTTTCTAATATGGCTCTATTGCTTTGAACATTTTGCGATTCTCCTTCCTGGTACTGAGTGTTACCATTAAAAACGGGGGATAAGTATGTCGGGTCGCTGTGGAACCCTCTTCGGTGGTCTTGATGGATCATCAACTCTTGCTCTTCGATTCCAAAATGAAGACCTTTGTAATGGACATGGTCATTTATAATGCCATGGCTTTGTAAGTTTGTTGAAGATCTTCGGAAACATTTCTGATAAAAATATGTTATTGCAAATATTCCAAAGAACAATACGAAAAGACCCACGAGACCCACAATTATATACACTATGAAACCATTTCCCAAGATTGGAATTTTGGCTTCATTCGTAGACAGGTTCTTTAAAATTGTTTCCGCAGGGGATGACAAAACATATGTTGTTGAGAAAGTTTCTTTCTTTTCATTTTGAGAAATTGAAGTGTGTAATGATGCAGAACTTTTTCCACTTGTCAAGTTTGTTATTAACTTATACGTATGAACTCTTGCAGTTGAAATCTCCGTTGAAATCGAAGAGGCTGGATTATTTAAAAAAAACAACAAAAACAGAAATAATAATTTATAAGTATCTGAGCCTAATTTATGATTAACTTGATATCAAGAATGTAATTGAACAAGATATTGTATTTCTTACCAGTTATAGAGATGCATCCTATAACAAAATCACACAGGTGAAAATCACAAGAACATACGTATTGGCAGTCTTCTCCATAACTAGGAACCGGACATTTCTGTGTACATTTTTCTCCATAAAACCCAAGAGGACATTCTGTAATTTTTATTCTTATTTAATTTTACAATGATCTCTTTTCGACAATTTACGACTAATGAAACAGTCTTGAATGCTTACTTTCACATTTTCCAGTGGAAATATTCAAAGTATATCCAGCACAGCATACAGATCCACCAACAGTTCTAAAAGTTATAAACATGATTATTTGTTAAAGGAAAATTTCTAAAACTAAAACTAAAGTAATCTATTTGATAATTATATAGAGGAAAGCTTACCCTAAACAAGTAGGTTTTACCAAGTAAATACATCTACAAAATATAATGGTAACAAGTATAAACATTATTACAATTAATTAACACATACAATATACTAATAAATTTATTGCCGTGTTTAATGATAGCCTGTTTCCTGTTATAATTCAAACTGCATTTTCTAAATATATCCCCCCAAACCAGCGCTAAGTATTGCTTAATGAATAGTTGACTTAAACATTCTAAATCAGAATGATATTAGCACATGCATGTACCTCAATTGAAATCCTTTAAAGTTAAATAATGCTAGTAAATTCATGACATTTTCCATATAAAGGAGCACGTGTGGGATTTAGGTTAAGTATTAGATGGGGTTTCAACTCCAAAGCATGAGTTTGCATTTGGAAAATATATTGGTTAATATTATATGCTAATGAATTCTAAGGGGCAAAATGACACGCGCACGTGTTGTAAGAATGTATTACCTTACAATTTAGTGCAATAGGCTGTGTGAAAACATTACGGATTGTGCTAAAACTTCTGGACAGTTCAATCGACTAGGGAATGTTGTGGTATTGCTGATATTCTTTGCTTTTTAATTTTCAAAAACGGATATTTAAAGCTCATTTTAAGAATGATAGATAAAGATTGAAACAAAAACAATCCATGCAATTTTTTCTCCTTTAACAATCTCAATTTCTGTATGAAATGTAAACTTTTGTGGCAAATTCTACTTTGTCTAACGGGGTTTCAAGGTTTGCTAGCAAAGGGGTTTTAACTCAAAGTCTTTCTGCAGTCGACAGAAATTGGCAAATTTTGTTAGCACAATCTGAAACATTTCTTAACAGCCTACAACACTAAATTGAAAGTTGAACCCACATGCATATGATTCTTAACCGAAACCCCACATGTCCCCTTAACATGGTGATCAGACAAAGCCTTCCTTTTGATACCAACAAAACTGATTGTTTTATCCTGACCATGGGGTTTAGTACACGTTTTAAGAACATTTTTCATAACTTTTGAACAGTTGGGATAATTTAAGGCTTTTATATTTCAAGTGTATTTTTCTTATGACGAGGCCTTTTCCTTGGTACCTCTACCATGACCCTTTGAACTTGACCCTTGGCGACAACTTTTAATGATTACAGAATTTTTAGATGAGAATTACACTCATATACTATTAGTTTGCCTGTATACCTTGTCTACATTTTTTCTCTTCCTTTCCTTAATGGCAACACCTTCCCACCTGTCTTTAGTTTAATTGTAACCCGTATTAAGACTGGTCATCAATGCCAGGAAAATGCTAACCCGAAGCTCATTGTGCTACAGATGAGAAAATTTAAAGGAAAGTATTTCCAAATTATTGTAAAATTTTCTTTGATGTTGAACATTAATGAAAATTATATATTTTATGATAATTATTCACAATTCTGTAGGTATTATTTTTGTTAATCTGCAACGGTTAAGCTCTGTATGTCAGAAGACCAGCTGAAGAATAATCTTGCACTTACTTGAAATGAGAGTTATAAATACCAAATAGACATTCTGATCATAAGATAGTAACTGAATAAGAAGAATTTAAATGATAGTCGGAAGTTGAGGTGTCAAATACTCATCTACATTCCTATAAAACTGTTGTTGTATCGTAATGTCATATCTTTATTCTCCACATAATTCGTATTTTGCCTTTAAAAATACACATAAGGGTCTTTATTGTCGAGATACTGGCATTTGCTTTTCCAGTTTAACTATGCACATATTAAGTCAGGTGTGCAATGACTTAAATAGAACATGGATCACAAAAGTAGTCTGAAAAATAGAACTCGGTCATTGTCGGGTGCATATTAATGAAGCGTATACATATTTTTTTTTATTTTTGTGTCTTCTTACTTCTCGAGAGAGAGAAAAAGAGAGAGAACATTTGATATATAAACGATTAAAAAACTAGTGAACAAACATCGATGTAGGTAGAGTACGTATATCTCAACAAACAAATGCATGATTTTTCTGATAAGAATATACCTGTATGAACTGTTTGCGTCTGCGCAATGGTGACAAATAGTGAGGAAAAATGGACTCCTCTTGACATTATCTTTTTGATTAGGTAAATTTGATTTTTTTGCAAGAAAAGTTTACAAATTACATAAGAATTTTTACTTAATGTCTTTTGTTAACTTATTTGTCTAATGTCTTATGAAGTGTTATTCTTTTTTTGCGATCCCACTACTTTCACTTTGAAAATCCCATTTTGTTTTTTCAATATCTCTTAAGAAAATTTGATTTCTATTTCCAATCCCAAAATAAAATAGAGAAAACAAAGGGTATTATGTAGATTCTATTAACTTGCCTAAATACCTTTATAACATGTTCAACCTATTCATAGTCACATTGACTTCTATTTAGAGGTGACATATAAGCTAGTGACCATAATAAATTATGTAGAAATTGTTGAAAAATTTTAGAAGTAAGTTAGTAAAAGAATGAAAGAGATGGACAACATTTTGTGTTTGCACTCTCAAATACTGTTTGAACATTACATAATTATTTTACAGTGCAGGGAAATAATTTTGTTACAGCATCAATGCTGATTTTGATGCTTCCTATGCTTGCTGATTTTGATGCTTCCTTTGCTTGCTGATTTTGATGCTAGTTATCCTTATCCTGATCCTGGTTTGATCCTTATCCTGATGCTGGTTTGAAACTAGGTCAGGGCTAGTAATGCTACCAGAAGTAGGATTATCCTGCCGGAAGTAGATAATTCAAAAACAGCATCGCTATTTTAAGCCATCAAAAAAGTTTTTGGGATTATTTTTATTTGTAATTTGTATTAGATGACTTTCCTTTGTCTGTTTTCACTTTGGTCAATGCTAGTTCTATCCTTTGCTTGCTGATGCTGATCCAAGTAATGCTGTTTTTTAAAATGCTGATGCTGATGCTAGTTCTATTCTGATCCTACTTATGCTGATCCTGATGCTGGTTTATGTAACAAAATTAGTTCCCTGCACTGTATGTATTTACATAAATAGTCTGAAACCATGCTCGGCTTTAATTATTCGTCCTTGAAAGGTAAACTAGTTACATTCGTATATGAAAATGGTAGTTGAATTAAAGATTATAAAATAGGTCATTTATACACTGTAGAAATGTAATGAAAAGGAAAAAATATCTTTACAGCTGAGGTAAACGCGAATGTGAGAGAAAGACATGAAGCACTGGATAATAAGTTGTTTAATTATATTATTCCTTCAGCTTGATTTAAAGGTGAGGACTTCTTATTTTCCTTTTTTGTTTTCTTTGAAGTTCAAGTTCATTTCTTATTTCTTTGCGTCATTCGACTCATCAGGTTACATAATACATTTACTAAACATATATACAATAATAAAAAAAACAATATGATAGTGAGCATACTCCGTAATCAATAAATAGCAAGTTAACTACATTGTATGTATAGGATGTGCTTTCACAGGCATTCGTTATTATGAAACACTTTTAAAAAACTACAAATGATTTATTCTTGTAATGGAAAACTGATATAGATTATAAGGTTATATAGTTTTTAAACACTGGGTTTCCCATAGTAATATATTTCTTTTAAATATTCAATTTGAGATAAATTAAAATGATAAAAAGGACATTTTTCATGAGTTATATCATTTAGCAAATTCCTTCATCGTAAACTAATTATCTCTTCAATGTTACATGTAACTGTAATATTTGCTACAATGTACTTATAATTGATTCTTCATTGAAAATATTTTTACCGTACATTTAATAATTTTTTTTATTTTATCTAAAAGGCTTCATTTTAGTATTTTTTTCATAGATCGTTCTTACATCTTAATTTTAACTTTAGCTAAACGTCTTCGTGTATGAACTTCTGTGCTTTGAGAAAAGTTAACAATCTAGAAAATAATTCCTAACTGGGAGAAAATGAACTAATTACGTATGTGTAGTAAACTGTCTGAGGTTTAAGCTTGTAATTTATTATTTATTCCTATGTGATGATGTTTACCAGTTTACTATAAAAATAAATATTCTATTGGAAGTTTTGTGTGGAAGATTTCTATATACCTAAATACGACAATTTTTTTTTTCAGTTTGTAAAATGCTATCAAATTTCAATATATACAACAGTACACGAGAGAGAGAGAGAGAGAGAGAGAGAGATTTATTTTTAGGTTAACAAATTGATGCGTTTTCATTCAGTTCCTGCTTGTTCAAAGCCAACTCAAAGAATGTCCAGAATCGGTGCAAACAGTAGAAGTTGTTGATGCTTGCCCAACAACCGAGGCTGAGGTGAAGGAAGCAGCAAAGCTTAAAAACTGTTCTTTTTATGCAGAAAGACAAACCTGCTCACATGAATCAAAATTCAAATACCACTGCGTTATTAATGTATTTGTAAACGCAACAATCTCAGTATGTGCGCCAGAGTGGAACATAAAAGGTATAAGATTCCGGAGAATATATCATATTTTTTATTTACTAAATTATCAAATGATATGACCGATTCATAAATTCAACATAGTAATTTACAATATTGCTACTTTATTTTAACTAGAAAAGCATATCTATTTCTATCCTTATAACAAATATGATAATATTATACTAAAATGAATAACATGATAAGCATTTTTTCAACTTTTCTTTTAGGCTTTTGCACAGAATATAATATTCAAGGCAAGAGAATACAAGATCACTACAAACTGAGATGTACAAACCATACACCAAGCTGTCCAGGACTATATCCTTCAACTGACGCCTATAAATGTAATAATTGTATTATTGATTTTACTTGTAATCAAACTAAGCAATTACTTGTTAAATATAATACTAATTATCAATGCCTATGAAAGGAGAATATAAATAATAGAAATAATTTATATAGCTATGTTTTATAATAGAAATATTATATTTGTCTGGTGCCTTATTCTCTGTCACCTTTGTGTATATACATGTTTGTACATATAGGGTAGTTTTCTATCTATGTTAAGACTATATGAGCATTATTTTTTATAAAAAGAATTACGCACAGGAAGAATAAAAATTATAAGTATAATCTGACGAACTACATTCTAAATGTGAAAATAAAACAAACTATAGGGATTATACATTTTGTGTAACCCATTTTATTATTTCAATGATATGATTTCAATGTAGATTACTTATTGAGTATTGTGTACCATTGACTTCTAATAATATTTGAAAAAAAATTATCTCGTGTCTGATTTTTTTTTATTAAAGATCCATCATGCTATGAAATTGTATACGCAAAACGAACAAAAGTGACAACAACACCAGTTCTCCAGGATGACGATTCAGAGGCCTTATCACCGTAAGTAAAAAAAAAGTTACATGTAAGGAAATACCGGGTAAATCTTTATTACCCATAAAAAATTCTATCACTTTACTGATTCATGTATTTTATCCTTCAGTGGTGAAATAGGTGGAGTTGTAGTATTGATATTCGTTGTTATATGTGGTGTTGTTGCTGGGATTCTCTTCATTTTCGTCAGAAGAAGGAAAAGTAAAAGTAAGTTGATTTTAAGAATTGCGTCTTTCATGCGAGTTTAGGCGTATGACACTAAAATCAACTGCTTTACTTCTTAACCTTATTTAAATAGGGTGGGGTATTTCTAAAGAGTTGCAAGATCTCATGCAAGACATATATATTCTTATATGTAAAGTTTCAAATGTTTAGAACAAGCTGAATAGGTATTGTTGAAGATACAAGCATTTAGTAATTAGTAATTATAATAATAATCATGTTGAATTGTGTCCATTTAAGAAAAAAAATTATATTTGTCTAGAGTCAAAGGTGGACAAGAAAGATAATGCTGCTTCTATATAAACATCACACAGCTTTAGACTCTAATTTGTTTGACTATTTTCTTGTTGAGACTTTATTTATTTTCATGTCTTTCCTTGGAACTCATTTTTTTTAACGTTTATGAAGACACTTTTCTGATAATTCCTTTATATTTTACAAAAGACACAAGACTATAGGGTAAAGCTAAGTTATATTTTTTTTGCTTTTTTACCTAGAAAAAAGAGTAAGTTTAACATAAATCTTTCATATTCCTAAAAACTACAATTTTAGGACAAAAATTGAGTATTCCAACAGCCCAAGAGTCGATGCACTTGGTGCCAAATGATGGTAAGGTCCATATATCATTTATTTCATTTAGAAAAAAAATGGAGTTTTATAATTTCTCATCTTTCACCTCCCTTTTGTCAAATTGATAGTGCTTCGTTTCCAAAGTTACGCTTTATATATACTTTGTTTTGCATTAAAAAGGAATTGAGATGTAATGTGAACTGCTCATATTCTTGACTTTGTAGACGAAGCAGTAACTGAAAATCAAGAAACGAAAGGTAAGAGTTTGAAAATAAACCATCATAAGGCAATTAAAAAAATTATATAATTTTATTTTGAGAATGTACCCAGTTAAAAGTTAGGAGGGCTGTTCAATAAATAATGTCCTGAACTGTATGAGAGATACAGATATCATATGACATTAAACTTGAGTTTCTCTCATTATTGTATCTTTACTGAATTTATAATAGTTTATGTGACCACTTTTCATCACATAGTTTCATCGTGAGAAGCTGGGAAACAAGGGCTATTCGAGACACTGCATTATAAATGAATGGTAACGAATAAGTAAACTGGAGTGAAAACAAAGGCTACATTAAAGCTGCTGTAAAACTTGTTAAAAATTCCAAAGAAATATTCACTGAAATATGTGTCATTTACATCAACCCATGCCTGTTTTATAGACAAATGAGCAGATTTATTTCAATGATAAAAATTATATAATGGGCGTCAAAACGGATGCCCTCCTGGCCAATAAAAATTAAAAAACGTATGTACTGCTTGCCAAATTTCAACAAATAATATTTGATGATGTACATGTATGATTGACTTTAAGACACATAGCAAATTTGATAGACATCATATCGAGAGTAATTAATACTGTTTTAAAGAAACGTTTGACAGTAAAAAAAAAAAGGTACTCAAAGGTCACCCTTTGTTTTAAAAAATGAGTGAAAACGACAGCATGTAGGAATGTCTTAACAATTATTTTAAAATATCAGTAATTGTAGTTATCCACGTTTGTTTTATATTTAAACAGATATTGGAACATGAATCTATTGCTTAAAATCATCAAAACAAAATTTACCATTAGATGAACTTGATAAAATCTGCGAAGGTCTTACAAAAGCAAAGGTATGCAAGAACACAAAGACAGATTAATATGTAATTTTCTTAAATATTAGTGGTATGTTGTTCAAATTCGTATTCGGGGAGACAGTTTAATATCTGTTGGAGTCTAGAAAGCAGTTTTTTTTTTTTTTGCAAAACGATCGAAAGGTTTTTTTGAGCAAGGATCCAGAATCAGGAATGCACTACACTGAATTTCTTCATGACAGTGTCCAAACCCGCATGCCCTGAAGATTAAAGGGGTTTTCAGGATAAACAGAAATTTAAAGTTTTTTCACATTAACACTATTTGCCAGATCTTTGACCTTTTGACTTGTTTCTATTGCCAAACTTAAAAAAAACACCTTTCAGAAGGAAAAGAAACAAGTCCAGAAAATCATTGGATCTGCCATTTTCCAGTATACTGAGGGTCATACCCAAAAATGAGTTCTAAAACAACTCATGGATATGCATGGATGAAAGATATTATAGAAATATGTTTGAATTAAAAGAGATTAATAAGTAAAATCATGAAGAATAAATCATTGAAAAGCGCTGTTTGCTTCTTTCTGAGCACCGAGGACATTATTTATTGAACAGCCTGCGTATGTATTTTTACGTAATCAAAATCCATATATTTTGATTGACTACCGGGGTATTTCCTTTTTATGACTTTTTAGTTATCCTGAAGTTTTTGTAGACTTTTTTTTTACTGAAGAATATTTTTTTCCTTTTTTTAAAGCTAATTTACACAAACTGGGTACATGTATATATATACTGCTATTAAGGACAGCACTATAGATGAAATTAGTTTCAGCCTTTTTTAAGATAAAAAAATGTAACTAATAACAACTCAACTTGACTTTATACTACGTTTGAAAACTAATTTTTAGGACAGGAATCGAGAGTTGAAACAGTTCCAGAGTCAGTGCCCTTAGCACCAGATGATGGTAGGGTTTCTACTTTTTTATTAGTGCAAGAAATAATTAAACGAAATATTATGACTTATCTTTTATTGAACATTGATTTGAGTTGGTATACGCTTTCCCATTTGTAAATGCTTGGCATTGTAACTGAAATTGTCTGTTATAATGAATAACGACTGATAAAATCATTTTTTTTTAGATATGTAAATTGCTCATATTTTATTTTTATTTTTATTTTTAGACATTGCAGAAACTTCAGAAGCAGAAGGTAACACGTGCAAAAATAATAAAAAAGTAAAATAGACAAATCCAAACCTGATTTTTGAAGTAACTGAAACTTACATGTTATAAAAATTGATATTATTAATATTAATAATATTATTAAAATTAATGTTTAATGGACGTTGAGATTGAATACTGTTCGTTATTTCCATATCCTTCTTCATATAAACCCATTTCAATTAAATCAAATGAAACTTTCAGGACGACCTAAAAATGAAAAACATCATGCACCATCATCGGAAGAAGGTAAGGATAAAATTAATATTAATTCAATTTGAATTGTATGTTCAGTGTTTTATCATATTTGTAGTACCAGTATATTTCTACCATTGTTTTGTGAATAAGATAGAAATAACCCTTTTCCAAAATGTAACAATACATATTACATTGGGTACATGTAATTTCTTTTTTAATAGAAGTATTTACTACATATTTTTTCTTGTAAAATGTTTGAAGATGGGATGCAAATGATATTTGATAATTTCAAAATGCAACTCGAATTCCATTATTGATTTATTAATAAAACAATAATTAATTAACATTAGTAGTAAAAATGTTTTTACATAGTATGAAATCTATATTCTATGGAGTTGAGAACGTGTTTCAGATTATTTGATGAAATTCATCAAATACAGAGAAAACCGATGATTTAAAATAATTTTCCCCAGTCGCTTATATTTTATATATTTTATAGAAAGAGATCTTCATTTTATAGAAAATAATAAAGCTGATAGTATGTAAATGATAAAATAAACTTTTTAAAACTTATAAAGTTTTCAAAAATGTGAATGCTGTAATGCATTTAAAATCACTTTAAATAATTTATTAAAGCTTATTCACCTAAAGGTTATATTTCTTCAAATGATAATTATTAGATCAGCATCAAAATGATGTAAAGCCAATTGACTTCAAGCAGTTGGAAGAAGAAGGTAGGATTTTACGTGTCTTTGTATATTTTTTAAATACTACCCCCCCCCCCCCCCCCCAAAAAAAAAAAAAAAAAAATTAATTTAAAAGTATATGAAGCTTTGTCATTATAATTATGCTATGTGTATATTTCTTTTTTACGCGATAAGTAAAGTTAGATGTTCTAAAAAAGGAGACCTGTCGTTTTTTCGGTTACCATAGTAAGTGATAAGCAACTTTATATATTAAATATCAATATATATATATATATATATATATATATATATATATATATATATATATATATATATATATCAATATATATATATATATATATATATATATATATATATATATTAACAAATTCACTTTATGATAGTAAATATATTATGTACTCATAAATTATTCAGGAAAATACATTCTTATTAACAATCTTTAAAGTGTTAAGAAAACATAATTCTGAATAACATCAAATCTTTTAAGTGTTAAGAAAACATAATTCTGAATAACATCAATTCCCATACACCAACACTTAAATTTGTATGTATAGAGCAGCCCGGTGTAACGTTGAATATTGACCTGAGTTGAAAATTGACCCGGGGGTCATTTTTCAACGTTGAATATTGAACCGGGGTCTTTTTTCAACGTTGAATATTGAGACCAAAAGTCGTTGAATTTATACCCGGGGTCATTTTTCAACAGCTTGATATTTTTTTCTTATACCTGAAGTCAACAAGTTGAAAATTGACCCTGTTGAATTGACACCACCTCAAAGTTTGAACATTTTTTTTAGCTGGGAAGTTGTTTTACGGGATTTATCAGTATCACTTTATTTATATTTCGGTTTCAATTTTTATCCATTTTCAAGAATAAAAGAAATAAACATACAGTATCATCCCGTGTATACATGTACATTTTGAACAGTGCACGGTTTTAGTTATCTTCAAGCATGACAACTTTATTTTTGACAATACTTTCCAAAATCCATGTCATCCATTAATAACTATAAAACAAAGAATAGGGCATAAAACAAAAATCTTAAAAATCTGCAATCTAGAAAGTAGCCCTATATATATTGATCAGGTGGGTGGAACATCCCATCTAGTCAAATTAAGTATAAAAAAACAAAATTTATAGCCTAAAAATAAGAATGAACACATCGACCAAAATGATTCCAATGATTGGTTATATTTGTGAAAAAAGCAATATAGCGACCATAGCATGTAAGTAATGCTGACTTTAAATGAATTGTTGAAATCCCTGTAACAATTAACTTATTTGTCGGTAGACTGTCTCGGCTTGATCGCTTTCGGACCATAACCTTGAGAATGAGATTATTCTTATTCTATAGAATGTGAATTTTATATTTGATTACTTGTTATTTCTATTCCATTATTAGTTATTTGTATTCAATGAATTGCTATTCCAATTACAGAAAATGTGACAATATATTCATATATCATAAAATTTACATTTTTTTCTCGAAAACACGCGTTTCCTATTCGATGTAATTAATATCTAAAACAATCGGTTGTTACTCGCTAATTTTGTCATTCCTATTCGATAATTTTTTTTATTCGATAATTATTTGGTTTATATGCAATAAAGTTGTTCGAAAACATACTAGCATCCATTTCTATTCGAAAAAATACGATTCCTATTCGATAAACTTCTCATCTTATTACATAATTTTATCTCTATGATCTCCTATGCAATGTTTTTTTTTTCAATAATTGCCATGATTGCAATCTGGGAGATATGACAAATTAAAGTAGAATTTGTTGTAATTTCAATGAAATAGGAATGTAAAGTTTCACATTATTATCGAATATAAATCATTTTATCACATAGATTGACAAAACAAAATTTGAAAATTTTGGGAAGAAGGCACAAGATTTCTCTCTTCAAGACTTAGAGACTATAGGAATCAGCATGAATTAAGCTGTTGCTGTTTATATTAAATAAATGTGTTTCGTTTTATTCATCGATGGAGTAATTATAGAGGGTTAAGTTATTCAGACTGCCAATTTAATTATTTGATTGTGTCTCGTATTTTGACAAAGATATCCAAAATGTTTTAATATAAAGTACACGTAGATCCTAATTAAAGACTTCGAGGCATTGTTACGTCTCATCAATTACGGAACATTAAAAATTATTAATACAAGTTGTAGTATTTTTTTTCAGAATCATCAAGTCATATTCTATATATTCTTAAATTGAGAAATCAATACTATTTCTTTTTTAACAAAATTATCTCCATTTTAACACGTGTTCTATGAGAAAACCAGGCCGGGGGGGGGGGGGGGGGGGGGTCGATGTCAATCACTTTCATGAAATTTTCTAAAAGGACTCCTGCAATATAGCATATGATCACAAGAAAAAAACATGAAGTCAATATGCATTTTATATTCTATAAATAGTAACTCAAGTCTTTATGCTGTTATATACTTAATCATGTGATCAAGTCAGAGAGCTTAGAATAAAAAGTGATATCACCTTTTCGTGCTGAATACCGTATAAGTGGAAATTTTAGCGAGACGCAAATTTAGCGATTTCTACCCAAAATCTGGTATTTTATTTTTAGCGAGAAGTAATTTTAGCGATTTTAAAATGCTAACTAAAGAATCTATTACAAATAACAAGCAATTATTATTTAGCGATATTTAATTTTAGCGATGTCAGCACCCTCGCTAATAATGCCAAAATTAAATCCTCGCTAAAAATTCTACTTATACGGGTAGATTCTATCACCTATTTGAATAAGTGGTATCACCTAGTTCGAAAAGGTGATATTACCTATTTGAGTTTCTTACAACAGTCATTTATGAATGATCCCTATAATATATAGATTACCACTAGAAACAAAAAAATTCGAACTACCCAATTTTCATGCGTTTTCTACGATTTTCGTATTGCTTACATGATATATAAGTGAAATAAATTAATTTGTAAGCAAAAAAAGACTACAGCTGTTCAACGGGAAAAGGTGATATCTCCCAATAGATTAGACGATATCACCAATTCGAATACGTGATATCACCTTTTCGAATGGGTGATATCACAAATTCAAATCAAACAGGTGATATCATGTATTGGAACGGGTGATATCATTTATTCAATTAGGAGATATTACTTTTTCCAGTAAATACCAAAACGGGGCCTCATACCTATGAATTAAGTCACAGTAGTGAAAACCCAATCATGTTTTTATGCTGTTGAATTTTGAACCGGTTTCATGATCAAAATTCCACGACCCGGCTCAGTTTTCAACGGATTAGGGTCTATATTCAACACCTTTGGTCTCAGTATTCAACGTTGAAAAATGACCCCCGGGTCAATTTTCAACCCGGGTCAAAATTCAACGTTACACCGGTCCTCCGGTTTGCAATGACTGCAAGGCAATAGCAATACTATGTGTTTATTCTTTATCTAAAACATATATTTTCACCATTTGGCATTGTAAGATTTTGAGAATTTTGAATTTTGAAATCCACAGAGATTTTTTCCTAGTTCAAAATTAATTGTTTCATTATCTCTGTACAATTTTCAAAAAAATATTCCCAGCAAATTTTTACGTCTTTTTCTATGAAAAACTTTAAGACAAAATTAATCGTTGAATAATGAATGTTGATTTTCTTAAAGTCTTTTATTACAAAGTAAATATAGCTTATATCTTCTTGTAATTCTGTAAATATGTTTAGTTACATGTATCGTTTGTAATTAAACAAACATGTATAAGTAGAATAAAAATTGTTAAATGCACATGATGTTCTACTTTTCCTTCATCCTGTTCACGTTATTAAAGGTTTTAAATATATGCATCTCTAAATCTAGTTATCGTATGTTAACTTGAAAAAAAAAATGCAAGAAATGTTTTATTGACTATTTTAAGGACGGAATCCAGCTGGTATGCCGATTTCTGAAGATACTGCAACGGACACTAGCTGTAAGTATATTTTCTGTTTCTCATGGAATAGATGTGTGATTGAAAAAAAAAAGGAAAATTATGCGCATATTATAATCTGTCAATTTATAATTAAATTGTAATTTGGAGTATATGCATAATTAAGTACAACCTGTAGTTGTCACATCTCTAAACCATGCAGCGATATTTAATAGAAAAATATAGAAAAGTCAAATATATAGAGATAACAGACAGTCACTGTATTCAAAAGCCATTTAAAAAATAAAAATTTGGAGCATATCAACCAAGGACCTCCAAAATGTTAGAGGTGGGATCGGGTGCCATGGTGGAGTGAGTATCCGGGTAATTATGCACCGTTGCATGCCTGTTTATTATCAACAATATGTGATTTTACCAAATATTGAAGATATATGAAAATACTAGTATGTTTGTGAGTACATTTCAAAGAAAGGCAATGACTCTGAGCTTATTAGAGCATAAAATCTTACACTTTTAACCATTGTATTGCATACATTTTACATAAAGATAAATTGCATATAATGTAGCATATTAATAACGTTCAAATATGGTTCGGAAATGCAATTCCTCACAATATTATAATTTTGATAAATATTTGACATTTTGCAGTATTAGTTATGCAAAAAGATGAAGAGACCTTGGCGGAAGAAAACTTAGGTATGCAAAGCAATTACTCAGAGTATTTATCTTGAAAATTTCGAAGTTGGTAAAACACTTAGAATCTTAAAATCCAAAGCAATGAAACTCAAACTATAATAAATTGATTTTCAGAAGACACTAAGAAATACCTGAGAAATTACAAAATCTTCGACAAATATTATGAAGAGACTGGCATGTATAAAAAAGCAAAACAACTTATTGAGAAAAATGGTGTAGTTATCATAATTGGCCCTCCAGGGTGTGGAAAAACAAACGCCGCTGTTCATCTAATGCTCATGTACGCTCAGAAAAAAGAAAATTGGGATTTACGCAAAATATCTGCACACAAGGATTTTTCTTTTGTAAAATTTTCAGAGAAAAAAAGCACATTATTTTTCATTGACAATTTATCTTTCGAAAATTCGTTTTTCTACGAAATAGAGGAATGGTGGAAGAAACTAGATGACATCTATAATAATCATATTAAAAGATTCAAAGGAACAAATGGAATGCATAAAGAAGGAAAAGTCCAATTATTGATAACTGCAAGAAGTAGTGTAATTGAAAAAGCACGCAAGTCTATGAAATGGACTCCTCCAGTTTTTAAGGAAGATTTTATTATTGATGTAGCTATTTCCCCTGCATTAAGCGAAACTGAACGGAAAATTATATGCATTACGGACGAAGAAAAGGAAAGAATTTTCAAAAGACAATTAGACTTTGCAAAACAACAGCTACATCTAGATTTTCAGTCATGTGATGAGAAGTTTATGAAGGAAATAAAATTAGCAAAAGGCCCGATTGGATTTCCACTCTGTGCCCATTTATATGCCTGCAAAAAGGAGTATAGGAAAAGGGGATCTCGTTTTTTTACCCATCCGATTGATATCCTCAGAATGCAGATAGAAAAAGAGATAGAATCTGACTCCAGCAACAGGACAAGAACCGTGTTTTTCCTTGTACTCCTGTATGAATGGCATTTGAAAACAAAGGATAGTCACGAAAGACTAAATATAGGAAATTCTGAATCATGCAAAAAATTTTTAAAGATGATATCGAAAGATATTTTAGATCAGTTTAGTAATTTGAATTTTAATCAATTGGAAACCACAGGAAAAAGATTAGCAGGTGCTTTTCTGCGAGAAATGGAAGTTGGAGAGTCCATTTTCAGATTTACTCATGATAGTGTATTTGATGCCGTTGGTACTTATTTTTGTGACAAGTATTTCAAGCAAACTGTTCAATGGTTTCCATTAGAGGTACTACTAAATCAAGAATTCCTGTCATTAAGCGAAGAAAAATGTCACATTTTAGCATTGCGATTATTGTATGAGGCATTTAATCAAAAGTTAGCACAAATATTCAGCTGCAGTGCATTTCGAGAAGAATCATTCGTAGACACTTTTATGAAAGAACTATCGAAAAGAAAACAAAATATGATTGCAATGTTTTTCAACTTAAATGACGACAGTACTCATCCAGGATTGCCCGTCACATTTTGGTCCGCCAAAAACAATCTCTATTATCTAACATATAAGATGCTCAGCATGATCAATGATAAGACACCTGACTATGAATCCCACTTGTTCATGTCATTTCTTGGAGAATGTGCTTCAAGAAATGAAAATCTACTGACAAAAATAAAATCAAATATAAAAGAAAACAGGGATGAATTGAAAAGTACAGTAGGCAGATTTAATGATGATAATGGCGACTCAATATTGCATATTATCATCGAATCTCCTCGACGGGATGAAGACGCATGTGAATTAATCAAAACTCTTATTAAAACAAAAGGAGTAAATATTAACCATCGAAATGGGAAAAATGTTACTCCAGTTATGAAAGCCGTTAGATGTACTATAAAGAGAACGAAATTAATCGAGGAACTTGTTAAAGCAAATGCTCATATGAAATATAAAGACGCAGATGGATCAACGGTTTTCCACCACTGTTTGAGCTCAGAAAACGACGATCAAATATGTTCAGAAACTATAACGTTACTATTAGAATCAAAAACAATGAAAAAAATTAATACAGACGACAATAAAGGTGAAACTCCTCTTAATATTGCAGCAAAACAACATCGATACAGCAGAATTTTAAGTATATTAGCGTTGTTGAAAAGTGATGAAATAACAACAGATACCTCTAATTTGGATGGATATTCTCCTATACAAAACACCCTGTTAAACCTGCATGGTGACGATGCTATAATTGCACTAGAACGTTGTACTAGACTTGCAATTTTTGTTGTGTTTGGGGTGAACCCTGAACATCAAGCAGATGAGAAGGAATCTTCCAATGAAGGAATTGAATACGAAAAAGAAGACAGAGGAGTTGGATCAGAAGGTAAAGAGAGCAAACCGAAAGACAAGGGTAAAAAGGCCATCGATATGTGCAGACAACTAGAGCTAGAATATGAAGAGGCAATTTTGTCATGTGCTAAAGATCAAGATGAAATGGCAAGTGTTCTGGAAAATATACTTAATGCCGTAAACAAGAAACAAACATCAGGCGAAGAATATGACGTAAAAAATCCTGGGAACAAACTCTCAGAAAAATTATTAGGGAAAATAAAAGAAGCAGCTAAAATACTGGCACATAAGAAATTTGAATAAACAAAGTGAATAATTTATTGAACACTATTTACTTTCAATTACTGTAACATCAATATTTACTGTCATTATTATTATTTTAAATGTCTTCAGCTGAAAAATTCACTTATTTCATTATTCCCAGTAAAGAGACAACAAATGAAGAAATTGAAAATGCGTACAAAATGATGCTACCCTGCAAAATTTTATTTATTTGTAATATTTTTTTTATTAAAGGGGTAGAAGGTTACACAAACTTTAAATAGAATGCCTAGAATGAAAAATGTTTTTTTAAATTGAGAGATACATGTCTCTTTTATAGTTAAATTATCAGTTATGTTTAAATTTTAATGATTTATTTTAACAATTGATTGGATTAGATGAGGTGGGTTGGGTTGGTGAAGAAGTACAAGAAACATTAAATCCAACATTCAAAATACTGTTTTCACCATTCACTTCAATTTGCTGTAGGTGATGTTTTCCTCACATGTGAATTAGAATTGAAACATTTCAAGATTAAATTAAAATTTGATTACCATTACCATGAACAGTATTAACTTATCCTACCCAGACACCCATATTATAGCACACAGGCTCCATGCTTCAATTTGAATACCTAAATGAAATCTTACCTTTCTTTGTTTCCATAACAATTTTATGCATTTTATAGTTTGTAAGATTTTGATTTTATCAGACTCCAGTAGATGAAAACGTAAAACTAAATAAGGTGGCAGAGGATATTTTTTTTGCAATCAAAACGTTTGACTGACGGTTTACTTAATATTGAGCTGCTTTTAAAATGTGCCTTGAAAAATTTTAAATTCTCTCTACATGTTATAATAGTATATACAGTATAAGGGATACACAAGGGTGATATTTCAATAAAATATACAAGGCCACCAGTTCCCTCCAAATGCACCAATAAAATAGTCTAGCTATAAAATTACCTATAATATGCATTCAAATCTGAGGTTTCTCTATTTTTTCTATTTTTTGACCGATACTAAATCCGAAACTATTCTATGCCACCTAATGCTATAGATTGACTCAGACACTTGTACATGTATCTATACCGGGATGCCCAAAATCTATCTACCTAATGATAAAATTTATGTAAAACCATTATGATGGCAAAAGCAACATTCTTTGAGCTTTATTCCATTTATTAAGAAGTAAACATTTGATAACATGATTTATTCATCATCCTGATATATATGATCTCTGAAAATTGTGACATATATGACTTGTATTTTCCTCTTTTTCGATCTAGACGTAGATAATGGAATGAGAAATAGACGTAGGTATTGCAAAACTTCTTTTATAATACATGTATATACATACCCATTTATTTGAAAAATGATTCAGCATATGACTACAATTCGGTTATTTTCTCTTCAATAACCTCTACATATACCTGATGCGAGAGAGGTTTAAGATAAATGTCCTCAGGTAAACTTTGTGTTTGAAGATCGTTTAATGAGACAGTTTCATTTTCAGCAGGGGTAAAGCTAGATTTGTTTGAACTAACTGTTTCAATTTCATTATATTCTGAATTTCTATTAAATATGGGATGAAGATAATCTTCATTACATACAACGTTTCCTTCGTTACTAGCATTTTCTTTTGATTTCAAAGTAAATAGGTCAAGTTGCTTGTAATCGATTGGAAGCATATGAGCAGTATTGATATTTTTTGCTTCTATTGTTCGCAAAAAGCAATGTTTATATAGATACACTGTCACAAATATACCGAAAAACAACACGAAAATACCAACTAGAGTGAACATTCCATAAAACATAGTGTTATCTTTTGGAGACGTATTTGGAGCAACAGTGTTTAAAGCTTGAGTTTCGAGTTTTTCCCCTGTAGATTTATGTTCTATTGTTACAGTACTGATTTGTGGTTTTGTTTCCACAGTCGTACCAGCCACGAAGTATTGTGTTGTTTCCTGCACCATTGACGCTGTAGAAAAAAATGAATTGTTGAACGTAAACAATCGATGTTTTAAAAAAATTAGTATGAAATCATTGATATTTTTTTAATTATTCACTCTACTCACAAATATGACATCCATAGGAAGGGTCACAGAAATCCTCTTTACAAGAGCATTCCTTTTGGCAGTTTTCTCCATAACTTGGAAAAACACAGATTTTGGAACAATTCACTCCGAAACTACCAATGGGGCATTCTGATGCATAATATAAAGTTTAAAGTTGTTAATATCAAACGAAACCAAATGAATAAATGATTTAAAATTTATACCGGCATCAAATCATTAGTTAGAATTGCTCCAAAAATATTAATGATAATTTCGACAAACTCTGTGTTATGTTATCTGCATGTTTAGCAAAAAACAGAGCAAAGTAGACTCATGGCTGAAAAGGTATATCCATTATATTAGAAGAGGATGGTATAAGAAAAATTTAATTATTCAAGCTGTATTTGATAATGCTTATCACATTTATGTTTTCTATTTTTCAAATTTTTGGGAACGTATTAAGCCTTAAAACGATTAATATGAAGTTAAAGCTTAAAACAATTAATACTTGTATGAAGTTTAACAATAAGGATGGAAACAATTCTGTTATTATACCTATAAGGAATTTAATCTTAATTGGATATTGGCATTGCATCAATAAGTACGTTTTCATTTTATCAAAATTCATTGTTCTGTCCAATCAATTTGTTGTGATTAAGATGATCAGAGACATTCTCATGTCTAAGTAATATATTTGAAAGCTAGATTGAAGAATGTCTCTTGGCTAGAAGAAAGTGTCTTGTATAAGTACTTCATTCCCTGCTATCAAGAAAATGTTAAATGGATTAAAGTTGCTTGAACTGCGGAAAAACTAGCCAAAGTGCATGCGAATTCCTACTTTCACATATCTTCCAGTCATCATTCCAAACATATCCATTGCAACAAACCTCGTTACCTCCAATACTATAAAGAAAATAAATTATATATATGTTTTTAAAGATTGTAGAGGTTTTAAATCTTGCACACAAACATAGCAGAAGGTTTTACAAATACATGTATACAAAATTTGATCTTTGCTTAGATTATCTTTTTAAGTTCAAGTCAATAAAGCTATGTATGAGTGTTAGAACGCCAACAATGAAGTCCAAATGTTTCTCACAATGAACACTTTGAAAGAAATCAACAGACTATTTTTTTTTTTGTAACAATGACAATAAGCAAAACAAATGAATTTTGCAACAATATACCTATATCGCTTGCCGACCGGGTTTTTATCTCTCAGTTGATTCGATGCGCAAGAGCATGCTTTACGTACGAACAATATCTAAAACGAGGTAAATTAATGTCAAACAAGTTGATGAAAGAAGATTATCAGCAGCATCGCAAAAACTTTAACGTTGCCCACAACTTTTGATTTAGTGGAGCTATGACTTCCAGTTTTCACATGTGTGAGACAAGACCTTTTTTGGGGTACCACTTTTATACAAAAATTCCAAACTTTTACTTTGAACACATCTTTTGAACAGTGAGACCAGGACATTTACACTTCACATATGTATTCTTTATGGAACGACCTTTATTGGATACCAACAACCCTGACCTTTTGACCTTGGAGATTTTTGTACTTGTGAAAAAACTTTTAACTTAGCCATTTCAATGTTACACTCACCTGACCTTTTTATAAAAGTAATGCATAATAACATTACAATTACTTGTAATTGAAAGATGGATCCATTACATATTACATCCCATTACTTTGAAAAAATGTTATGATTACAATGCATTACCACTACACATTACGATTACCCCAGGTTTCTTCTTCTATCATTACTAGGAGCACAAGCGGGTGTGACCGGTCGGCAAGAGATGCTCACTCCTCAATGGCAGCTCTGATATTTTGGGGGTCCGTTTTTTTCAGATTAAATTTCGTATCGTTTGATTGACTTTTGAGCTTACATACTGTTGATTATTTCCATATATATCTTTAGTATTATCAATTAAAAAAAAGAAATCATAAAGTTATTGCAAAGGGTTTTTAGTTTCAAATAGGCAAAATTGTAGGTTGGGCCTTTTGAATGATGACCTTACAGTGTAATTTGTATGCTTTTGCCCACGGAAAGTTCACGTAAGTCTATTTAATTACTCCACAGAGCCCATGGCGGGCATGCAAGGTAAACAGGGGATATTTACTCCTTCTACGCATTTGAACATGTGGAATTTCTTGGGTCTGTACTTCATGCCCCGTCGAACATTTTTTTTATTTGGTAGAAGTGCAAACATAGATTTTTTTTGATCGATCACTGTTCCAAATCTTTTTCTTATTCATATATATTAATTAGTTCTGTACTTCAGAGACAAGAAACGTATGCATTGGTAAAGTGTCCGTTTTATGTCCGTCTGTCTGAAAAAAAAAAAATAAAAACCTCCTTCTATTGGGTTGGTCCAATTGCATTAGATTATACATAAGTAGATTGTACATAGTGCTATATCTATAATCTTTTTTATTTTGAAAATCGGTTTGGCCATGACAACTGAAATTATTTCTTTTTGTAAAGTTTTAAACGCCGTTCCCCTATATTTTTTCATTAAAATTTAATAAAGAGTATAATCAGTCAATGAAAAAAATATGAATTGATGCAAAGATTTAAATTTGAGATATTGCTCACCCATTAAAAAAGTCATGATATTGATCCTGTTAAAGACAGTTAATAATGAAAAAACATATTTTAACAATTAAAAATTTGAAATTAATAAATGGAAAGTTTAAGTTACCCTCTACAGGAAGACTTCACTGGCTTTAAGGTATTAATGAAGCATATAAGAACAATTCCAAACATGTTCAATTAGAAACATGTGAAATGAAATGAGCAAAAATAAATTTGTATATTTCCCTATTCAAATAACTTCCTCGTGAGATACTTATTCATTCGCTTTGAATACTCGAATATTTTAAAATTGAGATGAGAACCAAATCATTTCCTATTTGGGCGTATTTCACATGTATATAGTTTTGAAAGTTTGCATAGTTTATAGGATTTAACTAAAAATTCTTCAAAACATTGTTACAGAATTAAATAACTTTATCACAAATTGTTTAACATACACATTGCAAGAAAGAGTATGTAAACTTTCTAAACAAACATTTAACATTCAAGGATAAATCCATAATCGCAGCCCAATTTAGCACAACAGATAGAGAATTGCTGGGATGTGGTAGGATTATCTTCATACAATGAAACGTATGGAGAAAACAAACAGTATTCAAGATAAAAAATCTACAGAGAGGAGCAAACACTGACCCTCAATACTTCAAAGGTAGGATCAGGGGCCATGGAGGAGTGAACATCCGGTCAGACCCGCCGTATGCCCTATGTCATAATCGAGAAATAACGGCAAAATCTGTTGTCAATTCAGTGTTTAATTAATGGCCTAACAATTAGTATGAAAAGCGCCAGTAACCTTTTTACTCTAGATCTATTACAAATTGTACTTGCTGACAAGGTCATTGTATCTACCATAGAACTCACAAAATGATGACTTCAAACAAGACTGCTGATTTTGGACAAATTCTACTTCATATATGTACATGTATAAATATAAAAATAGGTCTATTATTATTTACTGGACGCAATTTGTATCCATGGGAATTCCAATAGAGTGTTGGATCATTGGAAGACCTGGTCTCCAAATACAACATATATTTTGTCAATCAGATACTCAAGCATATTTTTGATGTGAATTTTAGAATACTTATTTATATTATCAGAAATAATAATCAGAATGTTTTTAACACATTAATTTTGCAAATGACCAATGACAAGTAAAGTTACGAGGGTTGATCCAAAAGTAATGTCACTGTGTCCATATCTTTTATATTTGGCTTCATATTATCAAATATAATACACCAAAAAATACACAAATATAAATCTATTTAAGACTGAAAATTTAATTTAACAATGATTACTAGGATTTATTTTATGGATGTTTAAAACATAGAGTATAGGGGGTGTCGCCGCGTCACAACGGAACGTCAGGTTTTGAAGTGCATTTTTTCATAGCATGAAAAAGACGAACACATTTTAAAAAAGATTCCAAAAATGCACCTAGCATCCCAATTTTTTAAAAACACAATTCTCGTCATTTTCTAGTCTGTACTTGAAAATTAAATGACGGCATTGGTATTTGTGATCATAAACATTGTTGTTTTACTCTGTTGAATTGAACAAAGGGATTTTCGAAATGAAAAAAAAAACGACTCAAGGAGTTGTAATGCATTTATCCTTCAAAACATGGGAACCATCACAAGAGAGAGTTACGTTTCTTAATCAGACTTACAGAATATAGAATGTAAATAAGAGACATCTTAATAGATGGTTTTAGCAATTTTTGGCGGGTGATTGGTCACTAATTGATCAGCAGAGGACAAGAATATCGCAACATAGGAGATCGGACGGAAACGTTCAATGGTGTCTGACGTTGTCAAAAAAAGACAGACGTATAGAGTGACATGTGAATTTTTAAGTTTGTCTTATGCTACTGTTCAAAAAAAATTGTCAATGGCTTCATTATGAATAGAGTGAGTGTATAATGGTACCAAAAATTCTGAGAGGAAGTGGAATTGGTGAAAGTGTTTGCGAATCACAAATATTTTTAAATAAAATTTTGGGGAAGCTCTTAAAAGTATGACGGTGCGTATCCGTCATATGACGTTATATTTAGGTGCGACGACTACCATAAACGCACATTGTTTAAAATCTGATATTTTGGAAAGTATACATCATATTCCTTTGTATTTTTCAGATCTGATTTGAAATAGATAAAGCTTCCATCATGTATAATTTTATTGCTTTACGTCGATTTATAGCAATTTTATCGAAGTTGTGACATTACTTTTGGATCAACCCTCGTACTTTACGAGCTTCATTTTTATTGACAAAGCTGTCAATGATATCAAATAGACTGGACTTTAATTTTCGTGGGGAATGGTTGTGTATAAAATGTAAAAGTCGTCAAGTTTTTAAGCTTTTGATTTCGGCGAAATCTTGAGATGATATATTGTCCAGAAGCTTTTTTGGAATTTTTGAGTATCCACATCTGATTTATACCACTTCTTTAAACTATTGTTGCACAGTGCTCTTGAAGTTTCTCTTTCACTACTATTACATGTAATATCTTAGTGAGGAGTAAAGAAAAAGGATTACACGTAGTTGATTATTTACTGGAATCCGCTATGTATCTTTGTATGTAAGGATTTTTAAAAATATTCAAAACGGACCTATGATTTTGAAGAATTTCTTTCTTAGAAATGAAACTCATTTCATTTCTTTAATAAAAAAAACTCTATTTTCCTAGAATAAAATATGCAAACATATAAGAGGAAATCTTATGCGTAAAGCGCTTAGTATCATAACCTTTGTCTGCAGCTTACAAGTTACAGTACCACATAATACTGATTTATGAATACAACTTATTTATGAAATAACGTGTACTTCAATTTTGAGTGAAACATATACTGTTAATGTAGAGATCGGGTAATTGAAATAAGTAAACGGGCTCATAAATATTAAAGTTTTAAAAAATATACACTGTTCAAAATCCCATAAATCATCGTACTTGAAAGTAAATGCATCTACCTGTTGAAATGCAAATACTAATGCGTGACGTCTTATAGATTTAAATAGAATATTCGAGATATGTGCCCTTCTATATATTCATATGCTAACCTGTTATTTAAATGCGTGTTGGTTACGTCTTATATCTACCTGTGAATCAAGTTCATGGGCACTTACATCTTTTGTATATGCACTTCGATACGTAAGTATTTGTTAATAAGTATAGAAAAACGTTTATTTCCTGCACCATTTTCCCCACCTCTGTAAGTGAAATTCATTCGGACATCTTGTGTTTTAAGGGAAAGGAATTTGATTTAAAAAGATTAATATTTGAGGTCATAGGTCTACTTTCGGTTTATATAAGACCCATGGTTCGGGAATTTCTTTCTTGATAATATATTTCATCAAACATCTTAATTTTTAGGTCCAGTAGAAATTAAAAATCTTTTCTATAATTTCTCGGCACTATGCCACACAATGATCTTGCATACATTTGCGGCTTAATTTCTTTTCATTATATTTGTTCTTCCTTAATACTACTAGACAACAATTTGGTTTTTATTTTAATGAAAAAACAACAAAAACCAACTATCCAATTTTTTTTTATTTAAGCAGATAGTATACATTAAAGAACAAGTCTTTAGGGTAACATCGATTGGATGTTTTCATGTTCATATTTGTTCGAAGGTTTTCTCTCATTTTTGTCCAAAAGTCGTTTTATATATTCAGTTATTCACCACACACTATGTTTTAATTAGCATGCAAATGTTAAAGTATTTTATGTATTACAAAACAAATTTTCCCCAATTGCTTTATCTCACGTACATCCGTTACAATCTGCAGAAATATCTGTGAACAAGTATTAATACATCCTCAAAACTTAAAACCAGGCATCTGTGATTCTTTCTTACAGAACAAGTTTTCCTTTTTACTTAGAGTGGAGATCATAATAAGATAATTTATTCCATCTAATCTTTATATTTTTGTCGATAAAATCTATGAAACATTAAGATAAATTAGAGCAAACCTCGTTGCAAAGCAACGAGTAGGTCTTCCGTCCTGTTTACCGGAAGTTGATTGGAATTAAAAAGAAAATGAGTAATGATCTAATCTCCATTGATCTTAATCATCCAAATATATGTTGATTATTGCAAAAGAAAGCGATTTTTGGCTACTTCCGGTTTGACCGGAAGTGACGTCGATGGACGAAAAGTAAAGGTTTATCCTTCCAGTGACAGATATTTCCCGAAACTGTGTCTAAAAGCAGAAAAAATGCATTTTAAACACTTCCAGATTGAACTGAAGTCGGGCGTAGTTTGATGATCTCAATAGATTTAACTTAACATGTTGAACAACTATGCTTCTTTGGTTGATTACAAATTATCAATACTTTTTAAGATATCAGAAAAAAAATTTATAGCCCCGCTTGATCCCCTTTTTATGGAGCCAGTCCTTTTTCGAGATATCATTTGAACGATCTTGAAATTCTACACTTCTTTTCGTCTATACATTTTAACGATATATTTTCAGATAGAAAGATATCGTAGAAAAGGTGTTACAAATTTGGAAATTCGCAATAGGACTATTTTTAGGCCAAAGTGAGAGCCGATGTGCGGCACTTCCGTTAGAAATAAAATACTTTACGCATATCTATAGACTTAGGATTATCATACCTGAAATTTTTATGTTTCTATCTAGAGCCATTTGTTAGAAAGTCTGCTGACAACCTGACCCTTCAAAAAATATAATCAACAATATCTTCGAACCGGAAGTGACGTCATCAAATAAAAAAATATATATAAAGTTTAAGTAATGTTACATAAGTCTTGACAGTTTCATTAAAATCCATTGATCCGTTTTCACGAAATCGTGTGCACAAAATCGGCAAGAAAAAAAATGACCAGAAAAGTGGAAAAGAAACCTAAGAATAACAAAAAGGGTTACCGCCTTAATTACTATACTAATATGTTATATCTATCTGTTGTGTAAACAAACCAACAGCACATATATGTGTTAAACTCGTTATCATAAGATATAATGTAAGCTTTCAAAGTTTACAACATGACCCACGCTCTTTCTCATGCACAGTTTATGCAATCATTGGTCCATTTTAATTACACCCCCGCTTGAAAAGTGGAAGGGTATATAGTGATGTCCGTCCCGTCTGTAACGTTTAATGGTACCAATCTCTTATCTGCAAGTCATCCTTTCCCACTGAATTAAATTTCATAAGACTTTCACATAATCTTTGTTATGGGGTACGATTGTAGGCACACCTTTATAGGACACATATGTTTCCTAGATTAAAATATGGACACGACCATTCTTTTTTATGATATTAAAGGGTACCCACTCCTGTCTGCGACTCCTTCTATACCACTGAATAAATTTAAGTATATTTTCACAGATTCTTTCTTACATTATACCAGTAGATGTATGCACTTTTTATTTTACTTTTTGACCTGTCACTTATTTCGGGTCTCTCCGACCAAAACATGTTTTTTACCATTTTAGCAATATGATTGGCGGGTGGCTTTTAGTGAGCTCATTGCTTAGAGTACATGTATCTCTAGTAATACTATTTCTGCTTGACAAATGGACGACATCAAAATGTTTGAGTTCGAAAATTTACAAATATAATTTCAGCCCTTTGTTAGACCTGAAGATCATTTAACCGCTTAGTTCCCAATATTGCTCATTATATTTGTTCCCATTCTCCTTGTCAATAATATTCAAATACTTTTGAAATGATTTGTTTTACAATGACACATTATTTTCATTCACATGTTAATTATTATTTTTATCTATTTTCAGAATACACTGTTGATGCCAATCCACTAAACTTGGAAGGACTTATGGCGAAAAGACATGGAAAACCTGTAGCAATTTTTTTGCTTATTTGCTATGTTGTGGTACGAAAATGGGCAACAATAAAAATGATATGAGTCCAAAAACAATAAATTATTTTTTCTGTATTTTTCAAAAAGAATGTGCATCTCTTTCCAGAATGTTCACACTTCCACCAACATTTATTGTCCGTGGGCGGTAAATACTGTTAAAACTGTCGCATCCTGTCCAATAACAAAAGAAGAGCGAGATAAAGCTTCAGATTTAAAGAATTGTAAGCAGTTCGCACAAAAACAGAACTGCTCGGATCCATCGAAATTTCAATATCACTGTGTAATGAATGAGCTACAAAACAAACTATTGGAAGTATGTGCCCCAACACGTTATATTCTTGGTAGGTTATACATGTATTTATTTTCATACCAATGTAATGTTGAATAATTTTTTTATTATAATTAATTTAATTTCATACTAAAAGTCTAGGAATGTGTGAAATTAATATTTGCAGTTTACGATTTTCATGTGAGAAAGTTTTTTTTCGAGAAACACTCGTCAACTATACATAATATATTATATGAATCGCCCTTAGAAGCATGAACAAGTCTTATTGATAAATACATTATGAAGTCAATCTCTTTGAAACGTTTATTTACAAAACTACCGGTACACAAAAAAAAAAAATGGAAGTTCCTTTTTGTATCGAATATAATAAAAATTATTAGTTAATTTAGCTTTCTGAAGCTCTAAACTACATGTAGAGGAATAACATTTCTTAAAATAAAATCAAATTTATATATTGTTCACGTAGGTCAGATTTTAATTTTATAAAACATTCTTTCTTAATGTTTTGTCATCAGAAGTAGCTGTATTACTGTTTTAATCCTGTTTAAAACCAATGTATTTTTTTTTTTACATAAAAATCTTCTGGTTAATTTTGATTGTTTTACCTTTAAAGGTTATTGTCCAGAATTCAACGTTAAGGGTGGAATAATTCAGGACCACTACTCTCTAGACTGCAGTAAGTTTGAGCCTCCATGTAAAACGCGCTACATATCAACTGATGCATATCTGTGTAAGTTTCTTCATTATTTCATTTAGATTTTGTTTTGATAAAAATCATAATTAAGCTTAAATAGTCAGCTGTCACGGCTTCTTAGATCCATTCAAATATACATTTATTTTATTTCAAAAGACCATGCCTGTTATGATCAAATAAAAATGTCTCCAGTTTCGGATGTAATTTCATCAACCTATCCTAGCGTGATTGAAGTACCGATTTTGTCAACAAGCAATAATACAACTCTTGATGCTAGCAAAAAAGAAACCCCTTCGTAAGTAAAATCAAACTAAAGATAATTAAACAGTACAACTTTTTTTATTACAATAAGTCTGAAATAATGATATGAGTGTTAGCACAAACTTTAATTAATGTCTTATATGTTATTTGCAAAATTTCAGGACTGATGTAATTATTGGCGTCACAATTTCCGCCATTTTGATGCTTTTCCTTGCAGCCGCCACCTTTATTGCCTGCTGTAAGCTTATATATAAATATTATAATACCCAATAATTTAAGCTCTCTAACTGGTTAAATCTTTATCACAATCCTTATGATCAAGTTTTTAGTAGCATATAGGCTGGTGTTACTATTTACAAATTCTGAAAAGCATATCGACTTGATGTTTCTAAAAACAAATATGATAAAAGTGCCGACTTCAACATGCTAAAAGTTAAAATAATATGACGTTTTTGGGAACAATGATAATTTAATCATATGTATTATGATATTCTGTAATAAATGGCTGCACTAATAACGCCTTGCATAAAAACTAACTTTAACTATTTTTTCTTGTAAATATAAGTAACATAATGAAGTCTTTGAAATTATTACATTCCATGAATGACTATAGTTTTAAAGGAAATACAATTTGGATATTAGTTTTTTATCGTGTGTATTTGTAAAAAAAAGTGATACAAGAAACTTGCGGCTTGGTCTTCGTCACTTAAAATTTTGTTGTGTTAATTTTGTTTAAAAAAGTCTATATTTTAAATTATGTTTGTTTGCCATCTCTTGAATCAGGTTAAACGTTTTGAGACGATCGACGGGAAGATCGTTTTAGAAGAAATTTTGTATTTGTCGGCAAAATAAAGGGAATAAAAAGAAGAAATATCGTGTCCTGAAATGTAAAAAAAAAAAGTTTTGACTCGCGTCATTTCTAGTCTGGAGGTCGGGAGAGGGCAACTCATCAAAATTTTAAAGATGGTCTTATTTAATAAATTTAGACCTTTCTTTTGGCTTTCGTGCTTGTTTGATATGCTTTTCTGTGGACGTGATTCATCTGTGGGTCACCTTAATGAATATATATATTTAAAGAAAATTCACAATATTCTTTACACATGTGTTAAAGAATTATAATACTGATTGTACTTATTTTCAGATTTTAAACGTCACTCAAAAAGGATTCCATGTTGGAGAAAAGGTATCTGAAAAAAAAAAACACCTCTGTAATACCACTGTTCTTATGTTGATGTTTCCAGAGGAAGGGAAATATCGTTCGAATGACTTCGAAAAAATAAAAGAGCAATAAAGCAATGTTTTTAATTTTTTGGGAGAAAAATAACAGATATTATGTGTTGCTGATAGATATTGATTAATGTAATAAATTCTTAAAATTACTTTTAAACAGAATCAACAAGAGAAGCAGGGAATGATGAAAGCAATCAAGGTATCATTTATTTGTCAGAAAATGTACAAGTAAAAATTACACATTTGTTATCTTATCAATAAAGAGATCAGAATTCATAACTTTAAATCAAACACATCACAGAACTCTGTATCAATATTATTTGTTAAAATATCGTAAATGATTTTAGGTTTCAATACACGCAAAGCATAATTCTGGCATTTATCAATTACAAAACATATTTGTTGATAAATATGTAACGTCTTGCTTACATTTTTGCTCATAAATCTTATGCAGAAAAAATGCTTATCTCGTATATAATTTTAGAGAGGTTGGCAATGCTGAAAGAGTTGGAAACTGAGATCACAGGGGGTGAGGAGTTAAAAGGTGCATATAGTATTTTTAAACTCCAACAGAGATAAAGCAATAATTGAATTTCTGATATCAACTTCAATTGAGGGATGTGAAACAAATTGAACACGATTTAATAATTTTGTATGAAGAAACTAAGAGCATGAACAGATAGAACAAATGTAGGAATATGCAATACCCATGTGCAATGCCTGTTCTATTTATGTATCATCTTTACAGTACAGTGTTCTCAGACAATATCAATATTTAGGAAACTATTACGTTACCTTTATAAACAACATAACACACATTTGTAATAAATTTTGCTTTCAAACAATTCATTTACAAGTATGAAATTTCTGATTTATTCCTCTTAAAGCTTTATTATAAACTAGATGGACAAGAAATGTATACTTATTTTTTCATTTCAAACAGAAAAGATTTTTTTTTCGAAATTGCGAATAAAAAATAATTTGGAAAAAAACCCCAAAATCATTGCATAATTATTTTTAGCAATTGGAAATGTAATAAGGAGATTATGATTACAATGTAAATACTTGATAATTACAACAACCAATTATTTAAATAAGCTGTATCATTAGGAATACTCAAATGTATCGTTTTATTCATTCAGACGATAAAGGAAAGAACCCAAGTTATAATTGTAAAGCAAAATTGCAAGAAAGTAAAGGTACGTTTTAATTATCATTTCTCTTTCTCTCTCTCTCTCTCTCATACACTTAAACATGCGGTTGAAGTTTGAGCGGATCTTTGTTACCTTTAACATTTAAGAAAGATAAATAATTACATGAATATGTTATAAGATGTTATTATTACAAGGATTGTACAAAAATACATTCTCACCATCATTTTCTTTAACAAAATTAAATATCAGCAATTTTTAATTTTTAGTAAGTTTCATTTCATTTTATTAAAATCATTACTTATGCTAGTCAACTTCAACAACAATATGATTTGTCATCACGGAGTACGGTTAACAACACTGTTAAGCTTAAAACATTATGGAGATTGTTTCTCATGAATATTCTGCATTTTTATTTCATACATGGTTTGTTGTGTCTTTTCCATGTATGTAAACGCATCCATAACATTTGACAACTAGTTTGCTAACTGCTTGAGTAGTTTAAGGTAGACTGTCAACATTTTCAAGTTCTTACGAGCGTAACTCCGCATTCACAAAAGTTCGGCAAGTGTGAAGACTTACTCTTTTGACATGATTTTTAGCTACAATCTGTTACTTCGCAGACCGCATATCGTCCGATTTAAAGTAAAATGGCGTTAAATGAAAAATGCTTAAACAAAAGTCTCAATTTTTACCCTTAATTAGATATTATCATTATTATTAGTATTTTATATATCATGCAAATGTACTTGTTATTTAGTAACGTCTTCTAAAAAAGTAATTAATTTAAAATGGTATCGTAGATTTTGTTACTATGTCTAGTTGCAATTTGAATAAAGTACTTCATAAAAGCAGATTTAAGTTACATTAAATCTATTTTTTTTATTCCCGTAACATTTTTGTTCAGACTTTTTAAAAAATAATAATTTATTATAGTTAGATGTATCATAGTGATGTATATATATCTAACACAACACAAACGAGGTAACTAAGATTTCGATTGTTGGCGGGAAAACTTAAGTTTAAGAGTTTGTCAAAGGTCAATATGTTAATTAGAAAATTATCTATCTAATTTATATCTGTTAATTTATGATTTATTTACATGTATAACATGTAAAAGTTTTTAATTTATACCTCACATAGTTTTGGCGCAATAGTAAGAATAAAATTTTGGACATCGTGACCTCCGTCAAAACCTAGCTTAATAATGTAGACTATGGGTCTCGTGTTTTCTGTTTATAAAGATATAAAAATTATTTTTCAAGCGATAAGCAGCACAGATCTACTTTTTATATTTTTTTCAGAAATCATGAATATTATTTTTGTCTACAAATAAAGGATCAAGTTTATTTTTTCTTTTTATATACTAGATCTAGAATTCTGCACTAGAATTCTTTTTCATTCTAAACATTATTTCTGAAAAAAAAGAAAACGTAATAGTAAATCATTTCTACTTGTTTTCCTTATTATGACTAAGAATCTTTGTAATGAGTCGAAAAAGTTCTAGAATGCATCTTTACATTATTAACAGATGGAGACACAAGTGATGACAGCAAATGTAAGATATATATCATTTTAAATAACATTTTATAAAGGAAATAAAAATCGTTTTTAAATGAAAATGGATTAAAAGTGAAAGAAGTTAAAAAAAATATTTAAGTTGTTTACACCCATTTACCAGAAATATGTTATAAAGTTTTGCTTTGTTTCAGCTTTAATTTCAACAGACTCATTCACTGATTTATCAGGTATGCTTCAAGATACATGTACATACTCTACATGTAGATCCACATGAAAATGCTGTCTGGAATACTTTGGGTGCTATTTTTGGTAGTAAATGATGCGAAAAATATGTTTTAAAAATATTGAAAATTTCTAATACTCTACCTGCAAGTACAGTTCCCTGTTACTCTGTAGCATAGAATCATTTTAAAAAATTGATAAAAAGTAATAATCTATACAATTGAACCTTTAATTTTACTTAAGTACCAGTCCACATAAAAATCAGACAAAGGGTGATATATGAAGGTTCTCAGAATTTGATGATTTTTCACTCATAGATTTATTTTGAAGTATGAACAACGTATGTAAAATGAAAAATGTTTTGAGTCATGGTAACCATGGAAACCCGGCCAAAGAAATTTCCTTAGCAACGGGCGGATTTTTCAGTGTTGAAGGACAAAAAATTACCTATCTTTGAGGCTTAAAATAACACGTAAATACCATGAGAATCATTCTTACTTATGGTTGTAATAAAGATACACATTTATTGTGGTCTAATAATGTAATAAAAAATATTTAGGTCTTAAGTCAGTTCTATGGTAGATATTGGAAGGTACACATGTTTTACAAGTTTTGCTGATTCAGCATTTTTCGTGATTTTGGCAATATTCAAGGCCAAATTTTAAAAATGGCCAGATTAATACAGTTGTTGCATGTATCTCACATAAAAGCAGAGGTATTTCTCTTTTAGAATTTGAAGTCAAATCCATGGGCTCTTTTGAAAATCAAATCTGTTGCCTAGCAACAAAAATGGGCTTTTTGATGCATAAATGAAAACAATGTAAAAAGTTTACGGAAAAATCAAGTGAACGGTTATTTATGATAAACGAGATACAAATTTTAAAATAGTATAATTAAATTCGGTCTCCCTAGCACATAACTGAATATTGCATAATTCTTTATCTCCATAGCAACGGCAGGTTCTCCATAGCAACAAGGCAAAGAAAGGTAATTTTGGCGTGTATTCGTGTAATCTTATTAAGGCTTATTTAAATAAGTCAGAAAAATCCGGTTGAGCAAAATTGACAATGAAATGTTGGTTTTATTGTTATTTTTTTTTGGTACTTAATCAACCCATATGGCAAGGATTCCGTGTACATGACAACCAAAGTTCCTATGTCTCCTGTAAAACAGATTTGACTTTGGGGTTGTATTGTTTGTCATGGAAAGGGATATTCAAGTAATATGCTGATAACTGCATGTTGATAATTCGGAAAGACTTTAAAATGTTGTATGAAGTTATTGAATATTGTTCAATGACTTTTTCCATAGCAACAACACCACTCCCCTAGCAACGACACATAGAAAGTCTGACGCATATTCATGTTACCTGTAAATCTTTATCTAAATCACGTCATGAAGAAAAAAATGATGTTGAAATGTTTGTTTTTCGAAAGTATTTTTAAACTCATTTAATCCATAACAACTATTTCTAGCACATAGCAAACAATGTTACGTTTTCAGTTTGGGATACTCTGTAGTCGTTATTCATAATATTGAAAGATTAGGCACTCGTCACAGATTTCTCAGAAAGTATTACAATGTATGAATTAATTCCTCATGAAAATAAATAGATAAATAAAATGAATAACGTCACTATGGAAACATTTCCAATGATATTTCCAATTGAATAGGAAGATCAGGTTTTAATTATTCTATTGATACTTGTCATAGATTGGAGAGGTTTTTTTTCCAAACGAAAAGAACCCGTCGCGGTAGCTCAAAGGTAGCACCTACTGCGTCCCACAGTGGGATTCGAACCCGCGACGTAAGGATCAGCTCCTTACTTCGTGACTCTATTGAAGACGCTCTTACCACTGCTCCATGAGGGCGACGCGGCACATTAAAATAAATCAAAATAAGAAAAGTCGCATGGCAGTCAGTTACGGTTATTTACGTAAAATTGAAGTGTACACCATTTGAAAGAAATATTGCAAGATGTCCAAAGCTAGATCAAATACAAATGAATTTAAAACATGGCTAGTTACACAAGTAGAAACTTTATTTTTGTATGTTGTTTGGTTAGATTTGCATTAATGTAGTGCAAACATATTTCAAAAAATTATGCAAACGATGGTCAGAGGGTCATCTTCATGTATCCGGTTAGTTCATATCTTAAAATGGAAATATTATGCAACAAAAACAAAACAATTGACATCGAACTCATCCATGTAACACGGGGCCCATGGGCCACATCGCTCTCCTGAGCACTGTGGCTAGGAAAAATCAATTCAGTAAATGCGTAAGTAGTCCCGATCCTAAAAGGGGAGGGTGATTTGAACAAACTTGAATCTTTGCATACTTGAATCTACACTAACTAAGGGTGTTTACATATTTTTTGAATAACTGTGGCTTTATTCCGATTAAGTTATTATGTTCCCCAAACGAAGTTGGGGAACATATTGTTTTTACTCTGTTTCTTATTATTATTATGTTCCCCAAACGAAGTTGGGGAACATATTGTTTTTACTCTGTTTCTTATTATTATTATTTTTCTTCTACTTCTTCTTCTTCTTCTTCCTGGGTACTTTTTTGTCCGGGAGTGATCTTGTAAACTACTCATCCGATTAAGGGGAAACCTTTTTAGGGTCAGTAGGCATGTTATGTAGATTTGCGGAACGAAGGTCATTTTGCGTGCACGTGCTTGCAAGAGCGTGCACGTGCAAAAGTGAAATGACCGATTTAATTGATATACGCGTAACTTTTTACATTTTTGATGAAATGCTTTGAAACTCATAATATACGGATATATTAGTAGTATAGACAATATGACATGGTCAAAATAGCAAGATCTCACGCGCATGCACGTGCGCTTCGCTCTGATTGGCTGAAACTAAAGCCTCAATATCTTTCTTGTTTTTTGACAAACTCCTTTGAAATTTTGAACATAGCCATGCGTTAGGGTATCCTACAATATGATATATAGTAATTATCATGAAAACACGTGCATGCACGTGCGCTGCAATCTGATTGGCTTAAACTTTAAATAGCTATAACTCCCTTGGTTTTCAACCAAACAGGATGGGATTTGGAACATAGATAGATATAATGGACTTCTACAAGATGGTATGGTCACCATGCACATGCAAACACGTGCGTGTACGTGCGCTGCAATCTGATTGGCTTAAACTTTAAACAGCTATAACTACTTTGGTTTTCAACCAAAGGGGGTGGGATTTGGAACATAGGTAGATGTAATGAACTTCTACAAGAAGGTAGGGTTACCATGCCTATGTATGCACGTGCGTGCACGTGAAATGAGTAAAATCAAAAATACACTTGAATGAGCGAATTTTTAAATACTTTTGGATTAAATACTTTAATATTTTGTATATTAAAATATATAGATTGTGTAGACAAGATGATATGGTCGTTACGCACATGCATTCACATGCGCACGCGTGCAATGCTAAAATTTGAATGAACTTGGTACACTTCTGGGTAAACGTTGTTAAAGTCTCAAATGCATAGAGTTTGTCTTATTTCATAAAGCATACAGGGAATATGGTACCAAAAGGAAGTTGGGGCGCGTTTGGGGAACATCTGTAACGGTCCCCGTTACAATTAGCACTAGTTATTATTTTTCTTCTTCTTCTTCTTCTTCTTCTTCTTCTTCTTCCTGGAACTTTTTTGTCCGGGAATGATCTTGTAAACTGTTCGTCCGATGTAGGTAAAACCTTTTTAGGGTTAGTAGACATGTTATGTAGATTTGCGGAATCAAGGTCATTTTGCGCGCACGTGCTTGCAAGAGCGTGCACGTGCAACACGTGAAATGACCAATATGATAGATATAGCCACAACTGTTTTATTTTTAGATGAAATGCTTTGAAACTCATAATGTGAGGATATATTAGTAGTATAGACATGACGACATGGTGAAAATAGCAAGATCTCACGCGCATGCACGTGCACTTCGCTCTGATTGGCTGCAACTAAAGTCTCAATATCTTTCTTGTTTTTTGAAGAAATCCTTTGAAATTTTGAACATAGCCATGCATTAGGATATCCTACAACATGAAATAAAGCAATTATCATGAAAACACGTGCATCCACGTGCGCTGCAATCTGATTGGCTAAAATATTAAACAGCTATAACTCCCTTGGTTTTCTACCAAACAGGATGGGATTTGGAACATAGATAGATATGATGAACTTCTACAAGTAGGTATGTTCACCATGCACATGCATACACGTGCGTGTACATGTGCTGCAATCTGATTGGCTGAAACTTTAAACAGCTATAACTCCCTTAGTTTTCACCCAAACGGGGTGGAATTTAGAACATAGATAGATGTAATGGACTTCTACAAGAAGGTATGGTCACCATGCTCATGTATGCACGTGCGTGCACGTGAAATGAGTAAAATCAAACATACACTTGAATGAGCGTATTTTTTAAAATAATTTTGGATTAAATACTTTAATATTTAGTGTATTAAAAATATAGATTGTGTAGACAAGATGATATGGTCATGACGCAAATGCATTCACATGTGCACGCATGCAATGCTAAAGTTTAAATGATTTTTGTACACTTCTTTGTAATTGTTGTTAAAATCTCAGATGCATAGAGTTTGTCTTATTCAATGAAGTTTACAGGGAATATGGCACCAAAAGGGAGTTGGGGAGCGTTTGGGGAACATCTGTAACGGTCCCCGTTACAATTAGCACTAGTGTACTTTTGTGGTCCCACCCAATCCTGGGGGTCATGATTTTGACTTTATCTAAACTACCTGAGGATGCTAACATTTGAACAAGACCAATCAAGATTTTTATATTTTTTTCCTATATATTTACATCCGCTGAATATTTTCTCCTTTATTTCTTAAGAAAACCCATTGCGTTAATCACTGCATGAACTACATTCGGCATGTCGTCTGTACAGATTTCTTGATCAGTGGCTGTTCCATCAATGAAACGTATAAAGACGTTCGCATCATTAATACAATGATTAATCTTTTTAATC